TCCGCATCGCTGACGAACCTAACGAAGGACGCCGTGAAGCTTCAGTGTGAAAAGGATCACCAGTGGTCATTCAAAGAGCTCAAACGAAGACTTTAGACGCCCCCAAATCTTGGTCATTTCGACCAGTTTGCTGAAAGAGACATCCATTTGGACGCCAGTAACACCGGACTTGGCGCAGCACTGGTCCAAAAGGCAGGAGGGCTGTAAGCGCGTCATCGACTACGCAAGTCGGACGCTGTCTAACGCGGCGAGGAACTACTCAATGACTCAAAAGAAGTGCTTCGCTGCCGTCTGGGCAATGCCAATGTTCCGCCCGTACTTGTACGGAAGTTCGTTTAGAGTGGCTACAAACCACCACACGCTCTGCTGGCTCGCGAATCTAATGGACCCCCGAGGACGCCTCGCCCGGTGGAGTCTGCGACTGCAGGTGTTTGACATGACCGTGGTGTGCAAGGGCAGTCGAAGGAACACACAGTGATGCCAATTGTCTGTCATGGGCAGTGTCGCCAACCTCCAAAGTCGTTTCTTCCCACAATTTTATCGAGGAATTCCCTAGAGTTCCCTAGATTTCCAGAAAATGAGTTAATTTGCGTTCATATTCAGACTATCGTGATGGAGTAGTGATTTAAAGGTTGAATTTTGTTCGTGAAAAGCTTTTTACATAAAAAAAAACTTTGTTACGCTGGCCTTGTGTGGCCCCTCCAAAGCGCTGTTGTTACCGCTGGAGATTATCTCTGGCCCTGACAATATACAGAGAAGCCTTTTGTCCGCCGCACTCGGCCGGCACGAGGAGGAAAGAGGGAAGGACCATGCCTTTAAAGCCCTCTGAAACCCGTTAAAAACAATCTTTAGATTTGAACAAATTTTTCTTTGCTCCTAAACGATGAAGAAAATCCCTAAATCTAGGGGAACATCCCTAAGGTTGGCAGCACTGGTCAAGGGCCCCCGTCGAGGCCGATCCTGCCTAAACTGAAGACGACGACGACAAGTGTTTTCTTAGTGCACTGGATGTCAGTGACATGTCTGCACTCCAAAGAGATGACCCTGATCTGCGAAGACTGATCGAGCATCTAGAAGGACAAGGAGGCGCTGTTCCCCGCGTTTTCATACGAACACTGCCAGCCTTCTTTATCCGACAAGGTGTGCTGTACAAAAGAAAACTTCATCGTCAACAGCACGGCGTGGCTGTTGGTGATCACTTACAGTCTTCGAGAAGAGATATTTCAAGGCTACCATGATTACCCAACGGCGGGACTCCTTGGCTCCAGCAAGACTATCACCGAGGTACGCGAAAAGTACTACTGGCCCAACCTTGCGAAGACAGTTCATCACTACACCCGATCTTGACACGAGTGTCAACGACAGAAGAAACCACCCAAGAGACCGGCAGGAGTTCTTCAGCCTAGTGCGCCACCCTATGCCCCATTTCCAGCAAATTTGAATACATTCATTTGGACCGTTCCCACCATCGACGCAAGGAAACAGATGGATAACCGTCGTGACCGATTACCTCACACGGTACGCCGAGACGACAGACCTTCCTTTAGGTACAGCTGTTGAAGTCGCCAAGTTTTTCGTCGAGTCCATTGTCCTCCTGCACAATTCCCTCGATGTCCTCATTACAGACCGTGGATCAAAGCTGACGGTTCGCTCGCTCAAGATATCCTTCGTCTTATTATTACCATCCACCGTCAAGCCACCGCGTACCATCCGCAGACAATTGGACTAACAGAAAGACTAAACAAAACTATCGCCGGCGTTATCACCATGTATGTCACCTAAGAGCACAAGACCTGGAATGAGGTGTTGCCCTACGTCACGTTTGCTTACAGCACGGTGGTGCAAGTGACCACGGGAGTAACACCATTTCAGCGGGTGCCGTAGAGTTCATTCAGAACCGCTCCACCCGATTTATACTTTCTTACTATCATCACACAGCTAGCACCACTTTTATGAAAGCGTCTCTATCCTTGCCTAATCATTCTCTTCATCGAAAGATATCCCGTTTATGCTTGATCCATATGATATATCGGTCTAACCCTATTCATCGCCAAGCACTATTTTCTGAACCATTTTACAAATCATAACGCACCGATCATCGATTAAAAGTTGGGATCCCTCATTGCAGCACATCTACCTTTAATTCCTCTTTTTGTCTCAAACCTCGAGTGACTGGAACCGCCTTCCTGCAACCATTGTCACAATCACTGCTTCAGATAAATTTAAGATTGCCATTACTAACCTGTTACATGATGTTTAGTAGTATTTTTTTTGCATTTTTTGCCTTTTCATTGTTATTTGTTTTACACCATGTAGTGTGCCATTACTAGCGTGTTAAGTGATGTTTAGTAGTTATTTTGTGTATTTTTTGCCTTTCCGTTGTTATTTGCTTTGTTCCATTTACTGTGCCCCACCCCTCTCTGTAATGCCTTCGGGCCCTGAGAGACATACTAAATGAAATGAAATAAAAAAAATAAAATAGTTATTACCACCAGTTCATTTCCAATTGTGTAGAGAAGACTGCCTTTTGTCGAGCTGACTAGGAAGAGGAGTGAAATTAAATATGTTGGACCCCAAAGCAAGAAAATGCCTTTAGACCCCTACGCAGAGTTGCGTTTGAAAGCGTTTAACAGAGTTTGACTGAGTTTCATCAAGGAAGGAAAGCAAGTGACCGGCACAGGTGTGCTTGGTATAAAGCGTGATACCTAATTAAAGAAATAGCTTTGTACGCGACCTAAGAATCAATGATGTCCTGGTTTCTCACTGCCGTAAAGCATTCAAACGCACTCAAACGCTTTCAAATGCAACTGTGAGTAGAGACCTTTTGAGTACTCGAAGCGGGCACTTTCAGTTGGACCAATTCTCTTTCTCACCAGGAGGTATGTACACCAAACCGATGATTCAGACAGCTGTCTGGGTGCTATGCTAATGCAGAAGTACTCGACCCTCTAGCATCCCATTGCGCGTGCTGGTAGAAAGCTGCTGCCCAGGAAGAGGAAGTATCCCGTCATCGAAATTCGAGCTCTAGCGTTATTCTGCGTCATTCAGAAATCTTATCTGTATTTATATGGAAAGAAATGTATTATTCAGACGGACCATCAGTCTTTTCAGTACATGCTTAAAATGAAAGTTTCACACCGTAGACCATGGAGGTGGAGCTTGTTTCTGCACGAACACAAGTTTTCGGTCCAGTATATCAATCGAACTGGCAACGTAGGAGGCGATTTCCCGACTCATGTTCGATGTGTATTGAATAAAGTTTCTTCTTGAGGTGATGATGGTGATATAATATGCCAGTCTGAATGAAATGTTATATTGAAAAGGGATATCGACCCATGAGTGTGCGTTTTATTTCTATTTTTTCAGCATACAAGAATATAACTTCGGTGTTAGCCTTTTGTTATGGCCAATTCCAAAAAAAAAAAAAAAATAAAGAAGAGAAGAGCGCGTGGTGAGATAAAGAAAGGAGCGGTATGAGAGCTAGTGTCGTGAGGCAATCGATCAAGGCTTGGCAGTGCGAAAACGTTGTACCTCTGTTGTCGGCCAAAGTACCTAGGTTGGGCATATACGTATAGGCTTTAAAAGGTCACTGAAGTGACGTATTGGCGTCTGATTGGTAGATGCAATTGGAAATGACGTATAGGCGTCTGATTGCAATGCGTCACGGAAGTGACTTTTGGCGTTTGATTGGTGCGGGCAATTACCTCCACCAATCAGACGCCTATACGTTACTTCCGTGACCTTTTAAGATGTACAGGTCAATATCCAACACAGCCCTCCTTGCCTCAAGAGGTCCAACCAAACCTTCTTCCCACCGGGTCTTCACGCGCCAATTCGTGCGGGACTGAGCTGACCTCGTTAGGAACAGCAGCGGTCTCCACATCTGGCGCCCAGTAAGAACAAAGACTCCCGCTGCGGGTCAAGATGATGCTACCGTTTAATTCAACAAGACCGAAGCCCTTCTTGGCACTTTGCACAAAATCCCCCATGCATCTGCACCGGTCTGCAGCCAGTGCTCGTCTACTTCGAACTTCTGTGCTAGATGTATTTCCCCGACTTGTAACCATCACTATCATTTTTAATTTATTTTGAAGTGCCTAGATCTGTGTACCTATGTTTTCGTTTTATTTATTTCTCTAAAATCTCAGCGAGTATTTTTTTTAACGTTACAACTGTCTCGTCTAACTTAGCAGTTTAATATCTATGAGTCACGACCAACATCACCGCTACAACAGTCTCATTATTCTACGAAACACGCTTCTTTTGAGTGTTTGTGCAAGAAATCATCATAATAAGGGCAGCAGCAAAACATGTCTATGAAATGTTCGCATTTCGGCATGAAATCATATGACATTATTGTTTTTTGTTTAAGGCACAGTCTGAAATAATTTGTTTTATATTTTTCACTTCAAACACTAATGTCTTGGAGCGCTGCGAAAAAATAGATCAAATAATAAATAAACTGAGTAAATTATGTCCCCGCATTGCTGGTTTAATCAATTAGAAATGCTACATTATAATCTAATAAAGCTTATGAATAACGTAGCGTAGGGTCGTGAAAAAAGGAAGTCCGCAGGTTTAATAAAGAAACGTATATTCTGGTAATTCGATAAAGCAAACAGCAACAATAAAGGTATAGAGTCCCCTGGCTCTTAAAAAAAAAAAGAAGGTTTGTTCACCTGTGTTCTATATCCTGTTTGTAAGCTTTAGGTACCGTCGTCGGAAATCTACATGAGCTGTTCCTTCTAAGTGCAATGTACATATCAAAGTCAGTTTAATTATGTTATGCAGTAAAATTAAGGCATATTGAAACAATGGCTTTAACATTGATTCGCAGCATCACACATCCCGTAAGGTAGCGCTCTGTAACTGTAAGAAAACACAAAACGAGCAGGAGGACGAAAACACACATCTACAAGCTTTTTAATTTGCACTTTTTTCACAAATATTCTTAAAGTGAGAGTTCTAAAAGCAGACAATGCCTCTCAAAAGAGTCCTACCTGCCATGCCAGTGCAGATTTAGTAATGACGTCCATAGAAAAGCCTCGAGTCACCGTCGCCATGTCCACAATTTCTCCTTTTTGCACAAGGTCAGCCAGAACTTCCGCCATCTCATCAGCGCAATTTTGAATGATTTGCGTCACCATCTTCATCTTAGCAGAGGTGAAGATTGGGTTCAGCGTGGCACGGATCCTCTTCCATTCTTCACCTGCAGACATAATTGAAGATTTGAATGAAGTAATTATTTCACTTCTAATTTTACGCGCACAATTTTACATTTACTTTTGCGGTATTTTGTCTATTATAATTTTGAAAATATAGCTGTACTCCCAACGCCCCACAGATTCTCGATATGTTTAAAGTCCTGACGGCTTGAAATTAATATAATAATACAATTGTTAGTAGTAGTAAGAGTAGTAGTAGTAGTAGTAATATTCTAGGGACTATTCACGGGATGCAATATCCTTGGTTTTTATTGGCAGACCATGCTCAGCACTTGCTTCAATTTATTTTCTGCAAAGAACAATACTCCTGACTGGGTGCAATGAATAACGCATATGCATAATCATGTAGTACTTTAAACCAAGATAACTTTTAGATAAGACAAATAGGACGGAGTTCTGGAATTTTCAACGAACAACAAGAGTATACAACGTCCTAGAAATGCCTCTTTATTTCTTTTTTTTCCCTCTTCATAAAGAAGTTTTGTCTACTGCACTGCCGACGTATGAACAAAAAACATCAGCACCTGCATCCTGATTTGTACAGGTTTCTATCACGGGTAAGGAATTACATTTACAATTACACAAGGCAAATTTGTAACTAATTACAGTTACAATTACCTTTTCTCTTTATACTTACTGCGTACCTTACTGTCCTTCATACCTTACTGTCCTAGGGTATGACACTAAACGCAAGTTTTATGGAAGCGTTTATTGTTGCGATCTGTCATGCTTTTTTTACTTTGATGCACAGCTGCTCTCAGAAGCCGTTTCGGACGTCTGGCCTCGTTTCTGAGTGGTGATGTTGTTCGCCGTTCTGAACACACTTTCAACTGAGGCACTGACAATTGCCAGACGCCCTGCTTGCGTGCTTTTTGAGAAAAATGGAACAACGCTCGTGCTACTTGAATTACCCTTTGTAAGAGTAATTCCTGCGTGCTACTTTAATTACTCTTACCTTTGTGATGGAAAAACGCTCGTGCTACTTTAATTACTCTTACCTTTGTAAATCTACCCATAATGCAGAAACGAGCAATATATGAGTGTGCGATCACCCGCTTTACCAAAGCTCAAAAACGAGCGCTCGCGCCCATGCATTTTTTGTATTGCACGCAACATTACTCCGTTCATGCATAAGCTGGCATAGCGTTCAAAGCTACAGGCACGAGACCGCAGCTCTGATACGTTGTGTTCACGCATGAAAGGCCCGTTTCTACTGGAAGCTTCCGTTGATTCGTCGCTTATTTTCGAATCTCCGTAGTGGAGGTAGACGCTGCTACTAAGCATGCGCCCCGCAAGCTATTTCTGCACAATTCAAGGGATCATTTCCGGTCGCTGTAAACTAGTGGGATGGCGGGAGTAGTTGCAGCTTTCGCTGTCTTATCAGCTTACAGGTGAAAGGAGTGCTCTTAAATTATTTCTCTTAAATACAAAAGTTTGGTCTTAAAAGGTCCTTCATAACCCGGGCATTTAAAAACAGGAAGTAGAGTTGCAAAACATTTTTGAAAACATCAAAACGTTTTGCATTGTTTTCAGTAAGTGTGCGGGAAAGGCAATGTGAACGTAATTTGGAAGTAACGAGCAATGCAATTCGTTCTTTTTCAGGAAAAATAATTAGTAACAGTAATTCATTACATTTCGGCTCGGGAAGTTGTAATTGTAATATGATTACATTTATGATGTAATTGGCAACGTGTGCCTCCGATGAACCAAACTGTATTTTAAAAAGTTATAAAGAAACAGTTTTATCCTCCTCTTACCACCTTTCTAGCATCCCAGTAACTGCTTGTTCATCGTATAAATATCTACGAATTCATCTGACAACTGACCTGTCATGGACGACTCACCTAACGAATGTCATCGCCGATGCTAACCGCACTCTGGGATTTCTTCGCCGTAACCTCAGACAAGCTACATCCCCAGTAATATAACTAGCTTATACTACCTTGGTCAAAACTAAACTAGAATTCGCTTCTTCCATATGGTCACCGTGGCAGGCATACCTAACAACATGGAATCCGTTCAAAGCAGGGCACTCCGTTTTATTTATTCCGACTATACCCCTTACCCAAGCATATCAGGATTTCGCCAATCAGCTAACCTTGACACTCCTTCTCACCGCCGCAGGGTGTCTCGTATTCTTTTCTTCATCGGATCTTTTATTACAACAGTCATCTCAGACAAAGCTTTCTATCGCCTCCTTACCTCATTTTCCCTCGTCTTGACCATTCTTGCAAACTCCGTTCGATTTCATCGTCAACCGTAACTCACAAAATGTCTACTTTACCATTGGCCATTGACGACTGGAACTTACTGCCTGACGTAATTGTTTCCTTATCTGACACTAAGAAATGTTCTGCAGCCATTAGCTTATTTGTTCAAACCTATAACTAGATTGCAGCGTGCCTTCGTTAATAAATAGTTGTGTTATTTTTTTAAGTGCTGACTCCCTTGTATAATGCCCCCTGGGCCTTCAAGGAATAATAAATGATGATGATGAAAGCAATTCGAAATGACAGAAGGCGAAATGTGTCAAAAACTCAATATAATTGTTTCTAATCTTTTGACGTCTTCTCAAAATTATTTAATCTGTTCAAGCTGCTAATACATGTTACGCTTCATGAAATGGTACGGGCCATGTCCAGCAATAACACAGTACTTTTTAGGTGTTATAATTAATTTTGTGTTAAATCGTAATTTTGCTACCTGGACCAATTTTGTCCTCAATTTGAATTGCTGCAGTAAGCGAAATGTTGAAGCGACATGAAACGAATGCCATTGCATTGCTATGATTGTAATCTATCTGGTGGTGCAATTTTTATTTTGGTTTTACTTACGAGATACATTGGAATTAGCTCCAAACATGTTACAATTATAAACTTTTGAGATATTTCAAATGAATTTTTGTATAAAAGTAATTTTTTAATGATTTTTTATTTGATATTTTATAAGATCTAGAAATACTGAATACATATAAGTCTTGGGTGGAATATTTTCGTGGTATTTCTGGGACAGCCAGTTTAAAAAAAAATGTTCTTGCCATTCCATCCCTGGTTGGGCTATATGTGCTTTAACAGCAATGCTTCACGCGGTTTCATTAATATTAGATTCTTTGGAGTGTGATTTTTATTATTTGCTTTTGTATGCGCTCATGTAGAACTGCAATATTTGAAGTACCTTACAGAGGGCTACAATAAGCAATTAATGTTAACAGCAGTGCCACTTACAGTCTGAGAGCGAGACGAGCAAGGCATTGAATTTACGGCATTGGCAGGCTAGTCTTTTTTTCATACCAATCGCTAGAGCACAGTATGACATAAGAAGCGCAATTAAAAAAAAACATCCGGGGAATCATTTATAATGCTGCTCAGTACCTAATTTCTCCGATGCCCATATGTCTAAACAAACTTGGTGGTGTCCCAATTATTTTTTTCACTCAAGAACGCACCAAATCTTTCTTGCAGAAACTTGGCCGGTTTGAAATGTGAAAATCATATTTTATTTAGTTTATCAGCTTACATAAAACATACATAGTTGAGCTGATAAAATAGAAACAACCGCTGGTATCACATCATTAAAACACTAAATTTAACTAGTAATGTACATACGTTATAACAATATGCATATATAAACGTAGATGATTATCCACAACAGTCCCCGCGTGTTCACGCCGATGACTGTTTAAAAAAAAGCCCGTCCTTTGGTTAGATAATTTACACTGCTCTTTGTCTTGCAAAACACCATATAGACACTAAAATACCCTGGTGAAGTTTGCTGGAGACACCTTTTTGTTTACAAGTTACCACAGGCGTGAAAGATGGATGCCTTTTTTAGGCGGTACGGACCCCAATTTGGCTGTCTTGGTTTTGTGGAAATTACTCACGTTCTATTTTTGTTCACGTAAATCACGTTTTTCACAATTTTTCACCTTCTTCACACGGCCAGTTTATGTCAGCATGACCGCAACCACAGGCGAACGGCTATTGTGCACAGACACCTGATGATTCAAAAGCCCCCGCAACTCCATGACAGATGTTTTTACCGTGTACCGAGACAAAAAAGTTCCACTCCGCCTTCAGAAGACCGGCTTGTTCGAACTCTTAGAGCTGAAGTTTGAGCAGGCGCTCCACCAGATACATACGTTAGTGAGGCACATACTGAAATCTGCTCCTCCAGCCACTCCTCAATGCATCTCAAAACGAGTTCCGCGTGGGGAGTGTCGTTGCACAGGTCTTCACACACGACACCGAAACATCAGGGACTTTGCAAGGTCGACACAGCACACGTGATCCCTGAAATTTGGTGATTTCTGGCAAAATGATTGTTAAATTTTCTGTACAGTCAACACGCATGCCATTATGTCTAGTGGTCACCTTTCCCTTCTCGATCCGAATAGCATTCCGCTAACTCATTCAGATGAAATCGTGAGTGGGAAATATTGTGTGCCATTTTTGCACCTCTATCAAAAAGGCGTTCGAGTTCGCAGTCTTTTTCACCGAATTGCTGCTTTCCCACGTGAAAAATGTAATTTCCTCGTCTGGAAAAAATTGTAGTACTTTGAAAAGAGTCGACCAATGCTAGGCACTCCTTGCATTCGCCTCGTGAACAATCGGTCATGGACTCAGGCAAAGGCACAAAGCTTTTATCTTCTCCGCTATTGTTTCTTTCCGCCCCATGTTGTTGAGGGAAAGCAGCCTTTAAAATGTGTGCAGCACACGAATACGCATACGGAACAGTCAGGGTTTAGCTTAAACTATTTTGGCCGCAACATGAAAAAAGAAGAAACTTCGTCAGTTCAAATTTGTAATCCGTGTTGGCTTTCATGAACAGCTGCTAGGCTTCTCTGATAGACCTCATCACGTAACGTTAGATGACTACCTTTTGTTCATCGTCCTTCATAACGTTTACAGCGTCCTTCTTGTTGAGGCTCCGGTGGGAACAGTCGAGATTATCGTCGGTGTAAGAGCGCGTGGCTTACTGCATAACG